TTCTCAAACAATATTTCATTATTTGTCATAATTTCAAAAACACGAATTTATTGTCAATTATTTTAGGTAAATATTTTAGATGTTAAAAACCAAAATAAATAATAATTAAAACATAAGTTTATCATGAATATATATATATATATATTTTGAAATATGTTTTATGTGAGTGTATAGGAATTTTTTTTTTTATTATATACTAATATATGATTAGAGTCCACCATAGATGAATAAAATGGATTAATATATATAAGAAATATTTGGTGTCTATTTATTAAGAGTTGCATGTTAACATAAATTGAAAAATCTCGTCATTAGAAACAATGCTAAGTTGTCTTATGACTCCATGATATGGATTTATTTCACACAAATAAAACACATTTAATTAAAATAATTAGGGTTCGAAAATATTAGAATTCTTTATAAAGGTTATGTTATAGTAGATCATGTATGCCTTTATTTTTTAATTTATATAAGTTCTTTAATTGTTGTTACAATTTTAACATTAAAATGATGAATTTATGATTAATTATTGTAGGAAATGTTTTAGATGTTAATAAATAAAATGATAACTTAAAATACTAATTAAAATTATGATAGTTAACAATTATTTAATTTTTTCTTTATTATTTTATTTTTTTCTTATCCAATTCTCATACAATATTTCATTATGTCATAATTTTCAAAATCACGAATTTATCGTCACTTATTTTAAGTAAATATTATAGATGCCAACAACCAAAATGAATAATAATTAAAATAATATTAGTTTATTTTTGAATGTATATCTTTTGAAATATGTTTTACGTGAGTATATAGAAATTATTTTTTCTTTAATCATATATTAATATAATATATGATTAGAGTTCACTATAGATGAATAAAATGGATTAATATATATAAGGAAAATCATGTGTCTAATTTTAAGGTAGTCTAGTGAATATTGCCACATAATGTTCACTTTATTTATATGAGGAAAACTCACAATAGCGCAATGCTAAGTTGTCCTATGACTCCATGATATGGATTTGATTCACTAACACACATTTTAATAAAATAATTAGAGTTTGAAATTATTAAAATTCTTTATAAAGGTTAGTATAGTACATCACGTATGACTTTACTTTTTTTTAATCTTTATATAATTGAGTTCTTTATTTGTTATTACCATATATCATTTTTTAATTAAAAATATAATATAAGATGGATATTACTGTATTACTCATTTGCCATTAAGGGTTTTTAGACAGATCATTATTTTTACAAAATCACTCATTCTTTTATAATAGTATAGATAGATAGATAGATAGATAGATATACTCTCCATTTCTCTCCTTTCGTGGAAGTTATAAGCATTGTTATGTCACTTTTCGGTTTTCTTTTGCATGAGTTTTATTTTTTTAATAGGAACCAAAGATGACCCCATTTTTTAATTTATAAATATTATTTATCAATACATCAAATTATCAACTTATTGGTACACGTTTATACATTTTGATATATCATGTGTTAGATGTTATTAGTTTGGTTGGGGACACTCATTCTATTCAAATAAATAATATATAATTTTTCATATTTTACATTTATTTTCTTGCAATAATGAAATGTTAAATATAAATAATAATGTTTAAAATAATGTTTTAAAAAGATGTTAGAAGTAACAAGTTCGTCCGTGCATCACACGTGTGTGCACTAGTTGTGCAATATTACATTAGTGCTATATTTGATGACACTAAATTAGTAGAGACATAAAAGGGAAAAAAGAAGAAGTTAAAAACTAAAGATATTATTCCTAATTTCGAATTACTAAGAGCACCCACAATGTCTTGTGGCTCTTAAAAAAATATCACATGTCACATAGGAAATAGATTTAGTCGATAAATAAAAGCTTTCCAATGCAATTAAAATTGGACATGGTCTAACTTATGTGGTAATGAAAAATGAGACTAAATCCACACTTGAGTCTATTTTGGATCGAAGTACAAACCTGAACAGTCATCATTTATTCTTAATTTAATTTTTCTTTTAATATAGAAAATATATTAGAACATTTTTATTGGTTGACAGATATTCTAGACCTAATACTTTATTTTTGCACTGGGTAGCTTTTAGATTTTTTTTGTTTGGGTTTGTCTATATCATTTAGAACTTAAGTCCATTTATATGTCACATATATAAAATTGGACACAATGCATTATGGTGCTCGAGGCAAATACACAGTTACCAATTCTAGTCCATAAATGCACGTAAAAGGAATAGGATTTGTTAGAAATAAATGGCGCTGATTTTTCCACTCTAATTAGTAAATTCTTACGATTATGAGTAATTATGATATAATGATTTCCTTTAAGATATACAATGAATCGTACGGTATGAAATACTATTACATACTTAATATATAGATTGTCACATTATATACTACTTCCTTCTATTTTTATTATTTGTCATTCTAGCTTAATGATCATTTGTTAAATAAATGTCGTTTTGGCTATTTTGTACATATTTTTCCATTATTACCCTCATCTAACTAATAAATACACTGCGTCTTTTCATATTCACTCTCCATTTTATTTCAAAACATTAATCTCTATCCTCATTAATGAGAGTTATTATTGGCAAATAAAATATTCTTAATTATTGTGCAACTTCTCAAAACGACATTTATTAAAAATAGGAAAGAGTATATAATTTCTCCCAAATCCAATATAAATATACGCTGCTAGCAACTTGTAATTAAAAATATCACTGCAAACAAAAAGTTCATTTTCCTCGAGTATCATATATACACACTACAAAGGTTTCATTCATATCACAAATATGAGCAGAATTTATTTCATCCTCTTCGTCCTCGTTTTGATTTCAGGTATTACATCTTTTTAATTTCGAATTTCATCATAGCCATATATATATGGATATATGTTCTTGCAGCAATGGACAAGGGTACAATAGTGGGAGCAATAAGAAGCGGCATAAAAGCGGAACAATGCGAGATAGGTTTAGGGGAGTGCAAAAGCGATGAAGAGTGTAGGCTTCTCTGCTTAATATCGTATCCCGATGCTCATGCATCAGCATTTTGTGACAGAGAACCTCATCTCCCTAGATTATGCTTGTGCTTCCATGATTGTTGAATTCATTAATCCCTTTAATTTGTAATAATCGTGATTATCATACACCAATCAAACTAGTTACACATGCTTCAATTTTAATTAAGTGCTAGCTGTGGACATCAACATTTTCTTTTCAATTTTAAGTAATGACTATAGCTTGAACCGATGGCAACCGATTATATGATTCAACTTCATAATTAAGACCACTTACCCTTCTAAACATGAATGCAATTAAATTTGTTTTTGCCAATTGGAAATGCTATATATTTCAAATAATTTGTACTTGACGGTGTATACATTATTAAATTACCTTTCAAATAATATATACTTACTAAAAATTACCTATTGTTTAACATAAACTACAAGTACTTAAAAAATATTACCTAACAATGAACTATGAAAACATAAATTACCAGTATATATTAAAAAAAAAAAATATATGCCTAAGAATGAACTGTGAAAACCAAAATTACCAGAATGCATAAAAAACACGGTTGAATGGGACAGCGTCATTCTGTGCCACGTCCTGCCTAATCCTGATGGTTGGACCCAAGCTGCCTCACAACTACCCCTGGTGGGAACAAGTCTTCGTCGAGGCAATGAAAAAGGCCGAGCTCCCAGTTAAAATTGAAAGACCCTCGATGAGCAGGGCGTAACCAAAAAAAAAAAAAACTACTTTGAGTTGAGTTTTCAACAAAAAATTAACTTATATAATTCAATATTAAAAAAGGAACAAATCATGTTCATTACAAATATTTTAAAGTGTTATAAAAAATTGTCTAGACGCCTTTTGCGCCTATCTGGGTGCCACGATTTTTTTTTGCCTAGATGACCATTATATACACTCAGAAGATTAAACGGCGTCCAAACATATTTATTTTTAAAAAGTTTTGAATTTAATTTTTAAAATATTTTTTTGTATGAAATATACGTTAATTATATAATAAATATAATAATCATCCTATAAAAATTAACACAATAGGTATTATATGCATTAAATTTTCATAATATTTGTACTTGAACATATTAATAATATAAATTGTCTAATACTCTTATAAGGTATGCATAATGACAAAAATTCTATGGAGCCATCGGATGGTTTTCTTATGGAGTCATCCACCACTTAATGTATTGACATATGTTCAAATTGTATTTATTGTAGGATACGTGTCAATACACTATTGGTGAATAAATATGGATGACTCCATAGCAAAAACTGCAAGTGTAAGATATTATTCCAAATCGTGAATTACTATTCAATCAGGATTTTTAAAAACTTTTTAAAACTTTTTAAGATTTTAGAAATCCTGGTGTATTCAATCTTGGGGTATTCAATTAGAATTTTAAAAAGTCTTACAAAATCCTGAGATATTTAACTTATTTGATACTAGGATTTGTTAAGACTTTTTAAGATTTTGTGGATTTCTAAACAAAAAATCTTATACGAAATCCACTTCAAATCTCACCTCCAATCAAGATTTCACAGAATTATTCCAAAATCTGAAAATCTTAAAAAGTCTCAAATTTTAAAATGTCACTTAAAACCCCAATTGCATACAAGGTTGAAGGCAAATACACAATAACCAAGATTTTTCCTTTTAATACAAGTAAATTCACACAATTACCAATTTTAATCCATAAAGGCACTGCGTAAAAGGAATAGGATTTGTTAGAAATATCTGTTGCTTATTTTTCCACTCTAATTAATAAGGCTAATATTCTCACGATTATGGGTAATTATGATATTCAGATTTCCTTAAGATAGACAATTAATTGTACAGTATCAAATATTACCTACTTAGTATAGATTGCCACAATATATACTTTATAATTCCTCCCCAAATCCAATATAAATATACGTTGCTAGCAACTTATAATTAAAATTATCAGTGCAAACAAAAAGCCTTTCCCTCGAGTATCACATATACACAATACAAAGATTTCGTACATATGACAAATATGAGCAGAACTTATTTCATCCTCTTCGTCTTCGTTTTGATTTCAGGTATTATATCTTTTTAATTTAGAATTTCATCATAGCGAGTGACAAATTAGTGAACATGTATATTGAGCGAGATAGATATACATATTGTCACCTTTAACAATACTATATATAACAGAATTTATGTATGCAATAATCATTTTTTTTTTTCTTTTCCTTTGAATTAGACCTATTTGTTTTGGATCTATGTGTTTATTGCAGCAACGGATAAGGGTAAGATCGTGGGAGCTATAAGACGCGACATAAAAGCGCAACAATGCGTGTCAGGTTTAGGGGAATGCAAAAGCGAAGATGATTGCGCGCTTCAGTGCTCACTGTTGTTTCCCGGTTCTCATGAAACGTCGTCGTTTTGTGACAGAGAACCTCATCTCCCTAGATTATGCTTGTGCTTTCATGATTGTAATTGAATTGATTAAATCCCTTTTGAAATAATCGTTACTATCATACACCTAGTTACACAAGATTCAGGTTTAATCAAGTGTTGTGCACTCGATCGATTAACTTAATGACATAAACATTTTATTTTGAATTTTAAATAATGACTCAAATCTATAACGTTGAAAAAATACATAACTATAGCTTGAACCGATGACATCATGACAGTGATCAAGGGCCGGCCGAAGCTCTGGTTCATCTTCATAGTTAAGACCACTTATCCTTCTAAACATGAACACAATTAAATTTGTTTTTGCCAATTACAAATGCTATATATATAAACTAATTTGTAATTGACTTTTCAAAAATAGTCCCGCAGAATGATGTTTCCCAAAACTTGTCCACTAACTTTTGTAATAATAAAATGAGAAACCGAACCTACTTGTAGTTGTTAACTGAGATTTCGGTTAAACAAGGTGATAAAAATTAATTTTGTTTGGTTCCAATAAAAAACTAAATTTTTTTGTTCAACTAGGAATTTGAAAATTTTCAAGATTAGTTATTTATTGCGGTTAACCGATTTTCAGTTAAAGATCAAAGTGAACACTAAATTTTGGTCCAATTTTCGATTCTTACAATGAATAAACCGAATTTTCGGCTAGTTAAAAATTCGGCTGATTCTGTTCGATTGTAAGGCTTTCATTTTAAAACTTTGAATGCATTTATCTGCTTTTATTTTTGGCCGTAAGGCTTTAATAGGCAAACGTAATGATTAGATTGTTATACAACACATTAATAGACGTGCATAATTTTAAACTAAAAAATCATATTCTTAAAAACAATATAAGTAAAATATTATATTTTATACTATATTTTTATATAGGAAAAATAAATATTGATTAACCCAACAATTTGCATATTTTGGGCTACCCTCAAATAACCGAGAAGGCCTTTTTGGCTCTGAAGGATCAATTCGGGTCAATCCAATTAAAGCTCTCAAATCAATCTTTTCCCTTTGAAGCACCATAGCTGCTCAGATGAAAAACTTATAGCCCAATAGATGCAGCTGGGACTTCTTAAATCTCTTCCTTTCAAACTGTATTTTACTGTAAGTTTATCCACCTGGTAGCTACGCTTTCAATTTCTACTGCAAAATACATTGTCTATTTGCGGTATTATTTGCTCGGATTTTCACTGAAAATCAATTCTTGAGCTTGCTAATTTTGATTTCAGGATTTGTGTAATTGAAATGCTTGTGACTGATTGTGTTCTTTAGCTAGTGTATTGCCGCCGTGTCTCGTTCTCTGTGTTTCTTAATTTCTAAGAGTATGGTCTTGGCCAAATATATTTTCTACGACACTCTGTAATTCGTTCATAGATATTGATCGAGAAGTTGCTCCGATTTTCGACCCAGGTACCACCTTAAAGGTTTGTGCTTTTCCTATCATTATGATTGTAACATGCATTGTTACTTTAATCAAGCAAAAATATCAGCTTTCCGAAAATTATGATGGTTTATGCAGCAGATGGAAGAAAAATCGGGGGAATCTGTTAATCAATATGCTGCTGATATATCTTCAATAAAAGCAGCACAAGAACGGATCAGCCCGTATGTGAATAAAACTTCAGTCTTATCTTCCGAAACGCTAAATTCGATATCTGGAAGAAAGCTTTACTTCAAATGTGAATGCTTCCAGAAAGGGTGAGATAGTTGTTGTCAGTACGTTAGAAATTTTAGCTTAAGTTCTTATTGCTTCATATGCAACTAATATATTAGATATTTCTTTAAGTTTTCAATCATTCTTATGCAACTACCATATGTGTAATGTCTTAAATGATCTTTGTTGAAACATTTTTTTCTTTTTTTCTCCTTGTAAATTTTAGTGGAGCTTTCAAATTTAGAGGGGCCTGCAATGCCGTATTTTCACTTACTGATGATGAGGCAGCTAAAGGGGTGGTGACTCATAGCAGGTTCGTTTTGACATCAGTAAAAGCTTCTTTATTTTTTCTCAAGATATGAGGAAGTGAAAATTTAATCTTGTCATTCTCTGTTGAATTGGAACATAATCCCGATTTCTGAAATTGTCCTGTAACAATGTAAAAAAATTTAAAAAATATCAATACTAGTCCTATTCACATAGTTGGAACGTGGTCTGAATTAGGACCAAACTTGATATACGCATATGGTAACGGGTAGGACCATAACAAGCAATGTTAACACAGTTTCTGGAAGTATATGCAAAATGTTTTGCTGGACCATTTTACTCCAAATTCTATTGGACTAGTTTGCAATTTTTCTTTGCATGATATTACTTAATTAAAATGTTGTGTGTCCATACTCTCCAAAAACTAGTGGTAACCATGCTGCGGCACTTTCTTTGGCTGCAAAGCTTAGAGGGATACCTGCGCATATAGTCATCCCTAAAAATGCTCCAAAATGCAAAGTTGAGAATGTCGTACGTTATGGTGGTCGGGTTATATGGAGTGAGGCCACAGTGCAATCCAGAGAAGAGATAGCTGCAAAGGTTTTACGAGAAACGGGTGCTGTTCTTATTCATCCATATAATGACCGTCGTATAATTAGGTAACATGTATCACCAAGTAATGCTTATTCTTTCACTTTTCATTTTCTCTTTCTTTCTTTCTTTTCTCTTTTTTCATTCTGTCACCTTGGAGGAGTAACTCTGGAATGTAGATGCTTGCCAGTGTGTGTATATAGGCATCATATCTGCACTTTCTAAGATTTTGGTGGTCTTAGACAAATGAGCATTTCAATTGGTTGAACTTGATTATACAGATGTTTTCGTGTTGAAGCGAGATATATGGTGAACCTTTCGGGAGATAATAAAATTGTGGATCTCATAATTACTTGGCCTCAAAGTTGAAATATGTCGATCAATTATCAAGCTCATAAGTCATAATGGTACCTGGCATTGTCATATATCTTCATGACTCTTTAGTTCTAATGGTTGTCCATTGGATTGTCACGTTTTCCATGAATTTATCTCATTTATTCTTCCACCTTTGCAGATTTTATGTAAAATTATTATCCCTTTCTATGTACCATAAGAAAAATCCCAAATTCTGTAGTGAGGCGGCCTAACCATTAGGCGGTCTGCCCGTCATACTTTCTAAACAAAAATGCCTACTCATAATGTGAAATGTCACATTTTGGTTTACCTTGTTTTTCATAATACGTTATTTTAGTATGGAAGTTTGCACATATGTTGAAAAAGTATGGTTCTCTATAGCCATAGGCCTGTCTAACGGCATTACTAAAGGATAATAAATTAGTAACAAGAATCCTCTGCTGATGGGTAGTTACTGAAAAATAAAGTTAGGAAAAACAAATTTGAATGAGAATCTGTGCATGTTTTGACTCATAAATTTGGTTTCAGTGGGCAAGGAACCATATCTCTGGTAACAAGAATCCTCTGCTGATGGGTAGTTACTGAAAAATAAAGTTAGGAAAAACAAATTTGAATGAGAATCTGTGCATGTTTTGACTCATAAATTTGGTTTCAGTGGGCAAGGAACCATATCTCTGGAGCTTTTGGATGAAATTCCTCAAATCGACACTATAATTGTTCCAATAAGCGGTATGCTCAACAATATTAGATCCCATTTATTACCCTCTTTTCACATGTTTGTACTTACTTGCTTGTATGTATGTTCTAAGCCTTGCATCACAGGAGGCGGGTTGATTTCAGGGGTGGCATTAGCTGCCAAGTCCATTAATCCCACAATCCGAATATTAGCTGCCGAACCAAAGGGAGCAAACGATGCTGCTCGTTCCAAAGACTCGGGAGCCATTGTCACATTACCCGAGACCAAGACCATAGCCGATGGTCTTCGAGCTTTTCTTGGAACTCTCACATGGTAAAAAAGAAAAAAAGAAAAAAAGAAAAGAAAAAAAACACCCTTAGAATTATTATCAATATTTCTCAAATTACTTTCTTAGATTACGACTGAATCAGTCCTTGGGGCTTTTTGTTAATATTCAAAATCTTGGGGATATTTTCTGTAATTATCACTAACATGTATCATAGGCCTGTTGTTCGAGATTTGGTGGACGAAGTCATTGTTGTCGAGGATAATGAGATAATTGAAGCTATGAGATTGTGTTATGAGATTCTGAAAGTTGCAGTCGAGCCAAGTGGGGCCATTGGGCTTGCGGCTGTTCTATCTGACAGTTTCAAGAATAAAGCTGCCTGGAAAGACTGCAACAATGTGGGCATAATTCTTTCAGGTGGCAATGTGGATTTGGATGTGCTTTGGAAGTCCTTACATAAATGTGTTTGAACGCCATGTTTTCTTAACAGGCACTCTTTTCACAAAGTACGTATTTTTTCTACTTGTGGAACTTTCTGAGATTTCAAGCTAAATACTTGATTTAATTAATTTGAACAATAACCCTTTGTATTAGTGTCATACTGGCTGTTTAAACTGTCTATTATGTAAAACTTACCATTTATACAGCCAAGTTTTTGTTGTTATTATTGCTATTATTTAATTGCAAGATATATGCAGTAACAAGACCAGTTCTTTCTTTTGTGTTGCCTAGTAATGAAAAATAATGAAACCAAAGTAGTTTTCCATGATACTGCAATCAATTTGGATTCAGTTTGTTTGATACAAAAAGTACGACACGAGAATTTCTTGATAAAATCAATGAATGACAAGAATGTGCGCAAAATGGAAGTTAGTAGGAAGTGTACACATTAAGGATATAAGAAGGCTGTTCTAATTGAGTGTCTTAGCTACATGCAGATTGTTTAGAATTGGCACCAAATTGTGTCTTTTAGAAGCAAGAATCACTTTTTCTTGTTTGTTGTGAGAGTCTCTTTTTATGGCATTGGCAACATTTGTGAAAGATTAATCATGAGTTGAATATGTATAAAACTAGAGGTTCAGTTGTGAAACTGGATTTTTGCTTTTATATATGTATGATTTGGGAATCCATTTTTGTATCATTCTTCTTTATCTCGTTCTTATTTATCTCATTCCGTGAACCTTTTTCTTTTAACAAACATTCATTATTCTGTCATGTTTGATTAGGTTAGTCTCTTGGTATGTGTTAGCTATCAAAAGAGACCCCCAGAAAAATGAATAAGAAAAAGAAAACAAATAAGGTTTATTGTAATGATGTAATCAGATCTTGGATTATTCGAAATTCATGGCGATGAATTGTTTTTTTGTTCAATTAGATCGTTAGAATTTTCTAATGTGATTTGAGTTCTTGATAGAAAAAAGTTCCGAGGTATATGATTGGAATTATGAGGTCATGGTTGGTGTACACAGTGTAAGTTAATGAAAAAATTACGCGGTTTACTATAAATTCATTTTGATTTTCATATTTATAAAGTTTTATTTTTATATTAAACATATACTAACTTTCATTATTATAACAAACAATGGTTAATTTGTGACTTATTGGCTGCATTATTTTTTAAATAGCATTGATTTTGGCTTATGCCTTGTTTATGAATGATTTACTGTATATATAATTTTCTTTCGAATGCCATTCTTGCAAATTTTTTTACACAATATAGTGAACATATAAAATAACCGAGCTTACTTGGACCTGTTAGTGCTCGGTTGTACTATCTGTTGAATTCAATATATTATTATTATATTATG